ACCTATGTTGTTCAGGGGTCAACTGAATGAACTTGGCTATTTAGCTGAGGAGATTTCTAAGCTAAGTGTGGAAGATGTCACCATGGTTTCTCCTTGCTGCCTATAGCAAAATGCAAGAGGAAAGAAAGAAACTGAGGAAGGAACTGTTAAGCAAAACAGAACCAGCACTTGATGATTTGGAATATTCTCAACCTATCTAATAGATCATGCTCTGGAAATAAGACTAAGGGTATGGCTGGACAAACTTCAGTGAGAGCATAGCTCCACTCACAACTTGATTTCAGACTTCTAGCTTCCAGAACTGTGAGAAAATACATATATTAGGATACTAAGAGCACAAACCACAAAAGAAAAAATTGATAGAGTCATAAAAATTTAAAAACCCTGCTCTTTAAAAGATAATGTTAAGAAAATATAAAGATAAGCCACAGGCTAGAAGAAACACCTATCTGAAAAAGGACTTGTATTCCAAACATATAAAAACCCTTATAACTCAACAAGAAGACAAACAACCCATGTTTTTCTAAATGAGCAAAATATCTGAACAGACATTTCACCAAAGAAAAACTATGGATGGTAAATAAACATATGAAAAAATGCTCAATACCATTTGTCAACAGAAAATGCAAAAGAAAACAATAACAAGATACCACTACAGACCCATTAGAATGGCTGAAGTGAAACACACATGCACACAAACAATACAAAATAGTTCTAGCAAAAATGTGGAGCAACTGGAACTCTCAGGCATGGCTGTCAGGATCACTTTACTCATTACCTTGCTTCATTTTCTTAAAAGTACTTTTCATTACCTTAAAGTTTACTTATGTATGTAAGTCCTTACGCATCTGCTCACATGTTTACTATCTCCCTGAATATAAGTACCATGGTGACTTGTGTCACCATATGTCATCTCAGCACCAAGACGAATGGCACAAAGTGGGCATTCAACACATACATATTAAAAGGATGAGAAAGAAATGATACGAAGGAAGTAAATTTGAGAAGGCGAGGAACCTAGTCATAGCAGTCCACAGATGGCTACCTGCTGGTGTAAAAGAAAATAAATTTAGACCACCAGGACTGTGCACATTCGAATTACCTGGAGCGCTCTGCAAAATACTGATTCCAGGCCACAGCAAACCAGTGAAATCAGAATCTAAGAATGGGATTCAAGTTTTGATCATTGAAGTTCTCCAGGTGATCCCAGTGTGAAGGCCAGATAGAAAACTAATGAGGAAATGGAACCTAGGCTGTGGAGCTGTACACACTGGGGCGGAAATCTGGGGCAAGTTACTTAACCTCCCTCAACCCCAAAAATCTCTTCTACAAAGTAGGAATAATACACACTTCCTGAAGATTGTGATTATACACAAAGCTCTTAGTAAATGTAAATTTGCCTCTCCAGGGCAAACGTGATGAAATTTTCATTGCGTAGTATGATAAATGTTAATTCAATCATCAATTCATACCTTCTTTTGTTACCTGATTACTGAACTGAACATTTGCATTGGTGAAGTTCAGAAATGCTAACTTTTTTCACCGTCCTGATGATAAGATGCTGCCTGAACTATGTCTATTTTAAATCTATGAGTGACTAAACTTTGAAGGGAAATCTAGCTGATTATTTATACCAGTGATTCTCAAACCTGGATGCAGGTTAGAATCAACCTAAGCTTTTTTAAAAATAACCAATACCGATGTCCAGACCTTGTGCAAGTCAATTAAATCAGATCCCTGGGGTAGGTCCAGAGTTATCAGTATTCTTTAAAAAGCTAATTGATCTGTGATTCTAAAACACAGCGCTGAAAAACACCTGATTTGCACAAATGACATCCAATGCTAACTGCACATCTGAGTCATTCATGGAGCTCTCAAAAAATATTGATTCCAGAACCCTGCCATAACTTAGTGATTCAGAATCCATGCACATGGAGCCTGTCATTTCAAAAGCATCATAAAACTTCCCCCTGGTGATTCTGACAGAAACCCACAGGGAACCATTACTTTATATCATGCATTTACTCTCCCTACTATATACCAGCAAAGATCATTTAGAACTTTCACCGGCCTTCCATGCCAAGCCTGCCCAGTTGCTTTTAATCAGTAACTGATACAACACATCACAGAAAGTCTGAATTTTACAGATCTTTTCAGAACATTTTAATGTGCAGACCACTGACCCACATCATTTACCATACGCTGTGCCCAGCAACAGCTATGCAGGCCGCTGGTCTTTCTAACTAAATCCCATTAGGCTGCCGATTTGGGAATGACAAAATGGGATGCCCAGGCCTTATTTCCCTTTAAGTGGTATACAACACCAGGACTGATGAAATTAACCTCACTGGTCAAATGAGTCTGAATGAAACCTAAGTCGTTTTCTGCACCTAGAGGCAAATTGTTATATTTGCTTCCCACCGAGAGATAATGAAATCTAAGGAAAGGCAATCCCTGAATTAGGAACATTAACAGAGTGCCCTGCAATTTTCAAACTCCACTAAACACAGTACCATAGCAGGGGCCTTAGAGAATGATTTTAGGGGAGTCAATCAATCAGTACACATATCACCCTGGCTGCACTACCAGGGAGATGATAATAGCATTTAAACAACCAGGCATTATTTTAAGCTTATTAAATACATTAATTCATGTGATCCTCACAATAACCCTACCAAGCAAGTACTATTCTTATTCCCGTTTCATAGAAAAGAAACAACAACACAAATGTACACAGAAGTTAAATGATTTGAACAAAGACACAGAGTTAGTAAGTGGCGGTTTTTGAACCCAGGCAATTTGCTTCAGTCTGTTACCTTAACTACTACACTTCAGTGTAGATGAGTGATGGCCAAGCAGTCTTAAAACAATTTTTTTAAAGTTAGGCTGCAGCAGAAACTGGAGATCAGACTGTGTGTACTATGGGTAAGTTACTTAACCTCTCTGCACTATTTTTGCACCTGAAAAAGAAAGATAATGACAGTACCTGCCTCACTTGAGTTGGGGTGAGGATTAAACAAAACAATGCATGTGATATACTTAGAACAGTACTTAGCGTTTTTTAAAAGAGCTGTGGGTGTCAGCCCATATTATTATTTGTATCACAATACAGCACAAGTGGTCAGGGAGAAATGACAACCTATTAATCTGAAAATCTCTTCTGGTGATCTTAGAACTGTAGATTCTGTAAATCCCCAGTACATCAGATCCAATATGAAATGCAAAATAGAAGATTTTCACAAGAACTTTACAACTGCCACTGTGACCAAAGCCCTAGCCCATCCAGTTCAAGACTGATTCAGTCTGACAATGAGAGCCCCGTTTGCTAGAGTTTGGCCTTTTTAGCCAACATCCCCAATTATCAAGCTGTATAAATATAACCACACCAGAAGCCAGACTTCCAAGGAGCCGGAAACAGTGCATTCAGGGTTCATTGGAGAACAAGAGCCTGTCAGGTGGTAAAGGTCAGCCCCCCTTAGTTACATTTGCATAAACAAAAGAAAAACAAAATGAGAACTCAAACAAAAATAGGTAACATTCATCATGTGCTCGCCACTTATTAAATGGTTTCCATATATTGCCTCATTTAATCCTCAAAACCCACTTCCAGGGTCTAACATTCCCAGAGAAAACCACACAACCCCCACTGGTTGATCTCACTTTAAATTCATGACTACACATCTCAAACAGGTATTCAACACTGCTTGACAGTCCAATCCCATTTCCCTAGTAAGTTCACTTTTCCAGTCTCCAGAAGGACGATGGCACATGTGTCTCCTCCAAGTTCTAACACCTCTTCTCCTCTCCCCTGTGCCCTTTCGGCCAATGACCGCATCACAGACACATGGTGCCACTACCCCGTCTGCATCCACACTGACTGTCATAACGGAATATGTGTTCCTGTCAATTCAAAGCCAACTACCCACGTGCCCTGGGGTCTCCTCCCCTCTCAGATATTCAAGGACTTCCCCCTGCAATGTTCCCATCTCTCATCTGCAATTCTCCCTATGCGTTCAATCCCACTGGCATATAAACATATTCTAGTTTCTTCTATCTTGCAAAAAAAAAAAAAAAAATCCACTTGACCTTAAGGCCCCTCTACTCCACTGAAGTCTTTCTTATTAAAATGATTAAAATCCTAACTCTGCAATTATCTTACACAGTAGCATTCGCCACAGTTAACCACCACCTCCTCCCTTTTTTGGCTTCCCCTCCTCTTCTTTGTGTACACTCTCAACCTAAGTGTTCAACCAATCCCTTCGTTTAAATACCATCTATATAGTAGTGATTCCAAAGCCCTGACATCACCCAGGACTTCAGACTCAAATTTCCAATGGCCAATCTAACAACTCACCTTAAAAATCTACTAGATTTATGTTATGTATATTTTACCATAATAAAAATAAATAAATCTGCAAGGTGACAGAGGGAGAGGGACGGAGAGATAAATCACTATGTGAAAAAAACCAAGGGTGGCTAGATGTTAATGGTAGGACCCAGGTGGTGGGTATACAGAGTTCACCGGAAAATTCTTTCCAACTATGTTGTTTGTTATGTTGCACGTTGGAGAAAAACCTAGTGGGCATCTCAAACCTAACATATTCAAAACCTAATTCTTGGTTCTACCCCTTCCAAAAATGAAAACTACCCCCCACCTACAGTTTTCCTCATCTCATTAAAGAGAGGCAAAGTAGGCAAGGCAAAAAAAACAGGACTCAGCCTTGACTGGCTATTTCCCACCTGTAATATAACTCCTTCATGGCAGGAACCCTGCCTATCTTGTTCACGTATATTCTCAACTTCCAGAACAGTGCTTGGCACACAGGAGGTGTTCAAAACATGCTGTTGAATTAACTGATGAATTAATGCTGTTTCTTGCTAGGCCCCTCAACCCTCACTCGTCCTTGAGTGGGAATGGAGTTCTTGGCCTCTAAACCTCCCCAGCCCGAGCCAGCGAACACCATGTCTTAGTACCTTAGTATTAGATTATGGCTTCTTACCAATCATATCAGCTCCATGCTCCTCAACGAGAGTTCAAGGCCTTTCTTTACCACAGAGCCAAGGTGTTTCCTGCCCCAAACCTGTCACACACAGGAACCACAACACATATCACAGTACAGCTGGGCATCACACTGCCCAGGCTGAGGGTCCTCACCGCCCCGCCAGGCTGCAGTGGACTCGGGCCTCACTCTGCCCAGGGCCTGCCCGAAAACCAGCGCAGGCAGGCCTCCTGGTGTCTAGGGCCACAGCCCACTCTTTCGGCCCCTGGGTATCAATGGCATCTCCCTCTGGGACCGCAGGGTGGGCCCAAGTCCGCCCTCTCACGCTGCTGCGCAGCGGCCTCCCCCATCGTCCCCCGTCCCACCTGACCCCCCACCACCTTTCCTCACCTGGCCCTGCCCCGCCCCGCCCCACCTGGCCCTGCCCCGCCCCGCCCCGCCCCCCTGGCCCCAACCGCCCCCGGCCCGCCCCCAGCCCGCCTTGCCAGTTGGGTTCTCGCGGGAGCCCGCCGGCCCTGCGGGGTCGGAGCCGTCCAATCCCAGCGGCGCCCACGAGCCTGCGCACTGGGGCCTCGTCGCTGCCGGGCTGGCCTGAGCCCGCAGTGCCTCCCCTGCTGGCCTTCGGAGGCACTGCAGCGCTCACCGGGGACACGGCGGGGGCTTGTCTGCGGTCGTTGGTCCACCACCCTGTTGTACATACCACTTTCCTAAGCTAGGCTCCTGATGCCAGCAGCATTCTGAGCCATGCCCACATCTGGAACTACTGACGACTGTGTTCCCTAGGGGTGGTCACTTGGTTCATACTTACCCCTGACGGCACCCCCCCCACCCGCGACCGCCAAAACCGAGTTGCAGAGGGGCCAGGGTCGGGGTGGGTTTGCAGTGTCAGAGCAAGACAGATGGAGTGTTTGGGCCCTTTGGACAGGACAGACTATTGCAAAAGTCACTAACCTGTGCTAGACTGTGAGGTCAGTTGGCTACAGGTCAGCTGGGAGTTTCAGTGTTGTCAGTGTGTAGGGAATTCAGGATGTAAACATTGCCTCAATACATGAAGCCAGAATATTTTTATCTTGGTGAGTACATCTCTCTCCATTTGGTCCTGACCAGATCCAGTTTCCTTGAAGTCATGACAAGACCTGCCTCTCTTAGCCCACAGCCTTCAACGGTGGTCTAAGGAGACAGCCATATCCTTGAGCTGGGAGGAGAGAGGGGGCTGCTGAGCAAAAAACGGCCACCGTCTGTCCAGGCATGGAGGGGTCAGCTCTCTGCTCTGTGAGTCACTGACAATAGGTAGATGCCTTCTCTCCATCAGAGGCCTGGTTTTTCCTCAGCAGCCAAGGCGCCCTTCAGGCGAGCTAAACCAGTGCCAGCGTGATTCTTCTTAAAGATGGACCCCATGTCTGATGTGTCTTTTGTTTTTCAGTCTCTAATATCAGAACTCTACACATGGTCACCATTTCACAAATAGGAGCAGCATGAATGAATTGAAATGTTATGAATATTGTAATGTCCCTACATAGATGGCCGTCCGGGGACACACAGAAGAAAGAAGTCCCACCCACAACATCAGGAAATCCCTGAATGGAGACTAAATGAACACTTGGTCAAAGTGACCCTGACGTCTCTATCCCCCAGCTTTCTTCTAAACCACACAGTACCCTCAGAGGCCACTGCCCCAGAAGGCTTTTCTTGGCTTCTGTGAAAAATTCAAAGAACTGTAGAGTGTGTTATCAAACTTTCTACCACTCTTTGGAGGCCTTTTCAAACCCTTGTGTCTGATCAGTTATTAGTAGTGCAAGGAGTCTCACAGGCCTGGACTTCAGTCTCTGCTCTGCTACAGAATAGCTGGTGACCTCGAGCAAGTTACTTCCCAACTTCTGCCTCGGTTTCTTTTTTTAACAAAAGAGGCCATAGGGTTGTAAGTGCTTAATGAGACAAAGTACAAAAGCTTCCAGCACTGTGTCTGGCACTAAATGCTGCTTCCCTTTCCCAGGAGAATGGTTTCACACATTTTGCTAGGACTGTGGCTCTTCAAGAGTTGCTGCACTCATTGTTTCCACCTCTTATTGTCTGTTTCTCTCTAAGCAAAGGACTCACGGCAGCTGTGGCCTCTGCCCTGTTGTAGGTAAGGCTGGATACCCTTCACAAATTAGACCAGACATATGCACACACCAGTCATTCAAAATGCAGGTCTAGAAGACCAGGTTGCTAATATTCCCTTTCCTCTGGGCCCCAGGACTCAACCTCACAGGACTCTCCACCACACAACCCCAGGCCCTTGCTCCTTATTACAGGCCTGGTCCTCCAGCCCAGACCTCAGTCTGCCTCTCCTAGTCCATCCCTCCAGGTCCCCTTTCTAGCCTAGCTGAGGAGTCTCCTGGTTATCCCCCCCGGCCACCCCCCGTTGCCCCACAGACACCTCCTTCTAATGTCCTCCTTTGCCTTAGGCTCACTGCAGATCTCTGGGAAAGCTCATATTGGGGGGAGCAGCAGTGACCAGCCCAGAGACATAACACTGATTCTGCAATTCTCAGTCTGCCTCCCTGCCCCTGGTCTGGGCATCCCGGCTCCCTCTTGGATGGACCTGAGGGCCAGGCAAATACCTGCTCTCTGATGAGGTGGGGCCCATCTGCTTCTTTCAAGTGCAAGAATTTACTGCCAAAATGGCCCCTCATCCCAAGCCATGGGTCTCCGGACCCATGAGGGGCTTCCAGACCCCAGTGAACAGCTCCCACTCACAACCTCACAACCCGAAGTCATTTTCTCAGTCCACAAAGTCAGTGCTCAAGTTTAGAATTTTCTAAACCTGGCTTGAACCAGGGAAGAACACATAACAAAGAACAAGAAACACTGGCATAAAAAAAGAATCATCTCAGCAACACTACCCTTCCCTAGGATCCATCATGGTACAGGCCTCTGCTTTGCAGCCTGGTTTATTTTTAGATGATGTTCTTCACACCCAACACCACCAAGTGTGAGTCGATGGGGATCATGAGCTTGGAAGAAGCCATGGGGCCTTCCTGTGTGTTTCTTTCCTTCCCTCTGCTTAGCTTTGAGACACTTCACATAAAAGGCTCTATAAAAATAAATTGTGGAAAGTACAATGCCAATAAAAATCCCCGTGGAAGCCGAAAACTCTTTGATTTAAAGAGCAGAAGGACATGCACTTACCTCATTGTGAATTCCCAGCTGCCTAGTCCCCAAGCCTGGCACATGGTAGATGCCCAATAATACTAATTGACTGACCTATTAGTTGGCTGCTCATCTGTTTGCAGAGCTTCAAGCAGCCCACCACTCTGCATGCATACCCCGCAAGGAGAGAGAATCCTTAGGCTTTGACAGGAGAGCTGCTAAGTTGGCAGGCTCGCCTGCCACAAACTCTTATACATAAATGCCCTGCCTTCCACTTCCAACTCTACTTATTCACAGGAAAATAATGATGTGGCAGAAAGTGAACTGCAAACACTGCCAAATTCTAACAGAGGAGCTGGATATGTGCCTTTCAAACCTCATGTATTACCCCTTGGTGTGTGCTAAGCCCTGGGCTTTCCAGCAGGACTACAGATGCCATTATCTTATTGCATCTTATTAACTAGATAGAATGGGTGCACATAGAAGGCAACTTCTTTGCTTCTCTCCAATGCCATTCAAGCTCAATGTCCAGATGCATTTCCTGGGCCCTTGCATATAAAATCTTGCGCAGGTCCCTAACTTTGAGCACCCAGAACAGTCCCAGTTCAGTGTAAGATTCCCTCTACCTTCCTATCTGTTAGGCTCTCTCTGCTCTTGAGGTCAGGACTGCTTTGGGCTGCAAAGAGGCATGGGAAAATGGGCGCATCCACTTCTCCTTCCTCACTAGGCTGCACACCCACCTCCTCCTCTCCAGACTCAGCATCTGAGACCTCTGCAACTGGAATCTAGCACCAGGCCTCCAGGCTCCGCAGGTATTTTGAGCCGACTATTTATCCTAAGAGAGAATCTTGTGGTTTCCCTGAGTATTCCCCTGCAGGGTGTCTCCTCCACTGCCTGGGTGATGTTTCTCTGGCCAGCTGTGGATAATGACTTCCCTTGCTCCTGCCCACTCCAGAGTACCAATGAGTTTATGTAGTCTGTGCTGTGAGCAAAGGTGCCAGACAAATGGGTAAGTGGAGGCCAAAATGCAGACTTGGTTTTGTGCCCCAATGAGGGACTTCTCAGAGGGAGAAAAGGCCACTTTTGTATCATTTATCAGCCACAGAAGGGTGCTTTTTTATGCTGCTCACTAATACATCCCCTGTGAGATCCGAAGGGGTACATGCACCCCAATGTTTATAGCAGCAATGTCCACAATAGCCAAACTGTGGAAAAAGCCAAGATGTCCATCGACAGATGAATGGATAAAGAAGGTGTGATATATATATATATATATATATATATATATATATATATATATATATATATATACACATATATACACACACACACACACAATGGAATATTATGCAGCCATCAAAAGGAATGAAATCTTGCCATTTGCAATGATGTGGATGGAACTGGAGGGTGTTATGCTGAGCGAAATAAGTCAATCAGAGAAAGACATGTATCATATGACCTCACTGATATGAGGAATTCTTAATCTCAGGAAACAAACTGAGGGTTGCTGGAATGGGGGGTGAGGTGGGAGGGATGGGGTGACTGGGTGATAGACATTGGGGAGGGTACGTGCTATGGTGAGCGCTGTGAATTGTGCAAGACTGTTGAATCACAGATCTGTACCTCTGAAACAAATAATACATTATACGTTAAAAAAAAGAAGAAGAAGAAGATAGCAGGAGGGGAAGAATGAAGGGGGGGAAATCGGAGGGGTAGATGAACCATGAGAGACGATGGACTCTGAAAAACAAACTGAGGGTTCTAGAGGGGAGGGGGGCGGGAGGATGGGGTTAGCCTGGTGATGGGTATTAAAGAGGGCAAGTTCTGCATGGAGCACTGGGTGTTATACGCAAACAATCATGGAACACTACATCAAAAACTAATGATGTAATGTATGGTGATTAACATAACATAATAAAATAAATAAATAAATAAAAATTTAACAGTTAAGAACAACAACAAAAAATACACCCCCTGTGAGTTGAGGCTCTGACCCTCTGGTTAGGCCCATGTCAGACCTACTTATTTTACCAGGGCTCTAGGCTGTGCCCCACCTGTAGGGCCGCGTGGCTGTAAGAAAGGCGTCCTTACCCTACAAAGGGTATGACAATTTATTCC